TGTTAAAGTTTAGACTACTAAATAGAACCAAATTTAGAGCGATGTAAGTGAAAATCAAAAATCTTGAATAGTAGTATACTGCCGTTCTACGCATATCTGTCCCATGTTACTTTTGGACGTTTTTCCATTTTGTTCATATAACAGTAATTTTTTAGGTAAACTTTCGAATGAAAATATAAAAACATTTTATTTGTTTTGGGCTTATTTAAAAACAACATCAAGTTTAATTGTTCCATGTCGAAATTCTACGCATAAATGTCCCACAAAGATTTTTTACTGAATCTTTTATTAACGAATCCATTTGAGTGTACGAATGATTGAAACAAGATTTATATGATCAAAAGAAACTCAATGAGTCATTTAGGGAAGTAGAAGCTTTGTTTTATGATGAAAAATAAAAGTAGAATCTTTATTTTATGATGAAAAATATTAAGAGAAACGGGAATTCATATTCAAACACCAGATTATAGTTAAGTTGTCAAACTGTGCATTATCATGTCTTAAAATAAACCAAAGACAAAATAGCATGATTTAAAATTAGATTGCATGTAGCAACAATGTATAAACATCTTCCATTATTGGCATGATTAAAAAAAGTACGTATTATTGTCTAAAAACAACTCGAAGCAACGCGGTTAACAATGATGGTACTTTATGTCACTTGATGTGTTCAATCGTCTAGTAGATAGCTGCTACCATATTTTGTAGTTAAAATAAGGTTCCTGTTGACTGATTCAGAATATCCGTTGTCATATGGTCCTTTCATAAAGTTAGTCGTTAGAATGTTCTCAATATACTACCGTGGATGCATTTGGTTGAATATAATGAAATCCTTAAGTGTATGTTAACTTTTCCAAAGTCTTTCTTGAAATCATCGAAGTCCATGATCGACAATCTTGCTGTGTTCTACACAGAGCATTCATCATTTGTTTCTCAAGATGCCCATACTTATAGGCTTTATAGACGTAGCAAACGACGATTGCAGCAATGTCAACTCACTTATTGTTGGTTTCAGTTAATGATGCAAACCTATGCAAACTATCCACTTTCAAAACTTCGCGGAGAACTCAAGCACGCTCATGTAAACACAACCACAACCACAAGAGTAAAGACGTCAAACGCAACATGGCCATCAAAGCAACACGGAAAGTAATAGTTCTTAGTGGGACTGATATTCGTAGAATTTCCTACTTCATTGCTAATTTCTCAGCATAACAGTCCCACTGAATTGTTTTCGTATAAAAATAGGCTTGACTAATTTCATTGAAGATAATTTCTGTAGTTTTCACTAGAACAAATTGATTCTGTTGAAATGCGAACAACGCACTAACTTATATTTCTTTCAAAGAGCAGAAATGATACGAAACATTATTCGCGATTTTCTCAGTTGTTACTTTTAGAACATAGTGTCCATACAAATCTGCATAGCATTTGCGCGAATGGATTATCATCCTGGTTTGGAATTTTCGTCGACTTCCCGGGGCCTAGAGTATCATAGTGCTTGCCACACAATATACAAATGTATGCATTGATTGGCATATAAAGCTCTCAATTGAAAACTGTGGTAGTGCATCTATAACACTAAGTTGAGAGCCGGCAAAAAGCAGGGTTCGATTCCCGGTCGGGCTGAATCATTTTCCGGGTTGGAAATGTTCTCGACTTCCCTGGACATAGAGTATAATTGTGCTTACCTCACAAACTCGTGCATTTGTTGGCAGAGAAAGCGCTCAATTAATAATTGCGGAATTTCTTCAGAGAACACTAAGTTGATAGTAGGCGCAAGCTCGCGTAAGAACGCCAAAGCCAGGAAAAAAAGAGGAAGAATGTCGTTCTTACCCTATCATTTACTGCGCTTAAAATAGGTTACACCAGTTGTGTTGCTTCTAGATAGACCCAACTGTGATGCTCGGGCAGAAAGAAGATCAAATTGTACACCTTGCATCAAGAAACGAAGCACGCAGTGCTTCCCAAACCGAAACCAAAAGGGGAAGGAGAGAGACAAGATCTTTTCTGTATGGGTTTTGATGGTTTTCCTTCATTTCAAAGTTCTGGATGGATTCCATTCTCTGTTCACTCTCGATCGCTTCGACCTGATGCTGGACTGAACACATCAGCAATATTAAGAAAAGCAAATTTATCATCTTTTATTTATTTTATCGGGCAGCACATATTTGGCATGGCTACGCGGGAATGGCCAGCAGATTGGCTTTTGTTGGGATGCTCAAATTGTAATATTTGCCCGCGAGGGCAGGAAGTTCTCAACGTGTCTCGATTGATAAAATCCAAATTTTTAAAATTTTGATCAAATATTTTCATCACAATTCCGTCGCCATTGATGACCATCTCCGAACATTCCGCACACTGAAATGAAGGCCACAAATCGCTTTCGGCCGTCTGCCTTTCTCCTTCTGATCGTTCAGTCAATCTCCCTGCCGTCCGCGTCCCGTGTGTTGCACGTTTGCTCATTTGTCCAGTCCAGCAGCAGCAGCATCAGCATCATCAGCAGCGGCGTGCCGTGGCCAAAAAAGCGCGCCATCGCGCTTGCACGTTGCGATCGTGCTTTTGGGAGGAGGTCAAAGACCTATCCTGGTGTGAGCTGGACCTTGTCAGCATCAGCAGGCAGCATTGGAACGAAAGTCTCAACTTGTTGTTTTGCGGTTTGTGGCTAACGCGTTGCTTTACCGATGGGAGAATTTTCAGGATCAGGTTGGAGTTTGTAAGAGATTGTTTGCATTATTAGATCACAGTAGCTGTGGTGCCTTGCCAATTTATTAAAATCGCCGAAACAAAGTTGAAGAACAAAATGCAGCAGGTTTTCGAAATGATTGCAGATCAAATCTTTTACTTGATAACAAGCAATCTTTCAACGTAAAGTAAGTAGCTACACCGCACAGAGCAGTAGAACAAAACCCTGGGCAAAATAGAAAAAAATTAGACTTTTTATTTTATGTATTCTATTTTATTTGTACAGTTAATTAAATGCTTCACAAAGTGGCAATGGTCAAAATATGTGAAATGATGTTTCAATTTTTTAGAAAGTGCTTAAACATTGACATAATGTAGAGCTTTATTTTTTTCAAAAGCCAACAATTTATAAACAGACCTTACCAGACGTAAACAAAATAGTAAATGGTCAATATTTCTCAGAAAATGAGTGTGTTCAATGCTTAATAATTTATGGATAATAATCCAAAAAAATAATAATGTAATAGCTTGTTTAAAAAAAAAAACTAAATAAAATGTGATTTTTAGTGTTTTTAACAAAATATTTGGTACAAACTTTGAATTTTTTGTTCAAAAAATTAAGGAAAGACACGGTTGAAAACCGAGTAGATGCAATTCATTTATTGGAAACCTTATTACTTTTTAATGAATTTGTACTAAATTATAACTTTGTTGATATGCAAAGTTATGAGTAACAGAAATTGTAAAAATAGTTGTGATTTATTTACCAATTGGAAAACATCAGTTGTTAAAATTTATCATCATGTATTCTAAGTCTTCTGGATTTGCCATGAACAGTTACTCATTGATTTGGTTTTCACACTTATACGAAAGAGATTGAAGACGTTAACAATATCCTTGGCATTGTTTTCAGTTCAACGCAGACCACCATCTAAAGAATATGCTTGTGGAAAGTTCAATCGACCGTTCATTCTTTCAAAGAGCTTTCCATCCATCATCCATTTTTCGATGCAGATAAACATCGTTATTTTTCTCGTGCTGATAACACGCATTGCCAAAATTTCCGTGGCACCATTTAAAGAAGGTACGACAGCTGGTAATTTACTTCTTTCTGACATGTTCTTGCCCAGCTACCATCGTCGTCGTCTTCGTCGTCTGTCGGAATCAATAAATTCACCAAAGCAGGTTTAATTAATTATAAAGTGCTACCGTACGTTCGGTTGTCTGATTGCGCTGCGTTGGCTGTTGGCTCTCCCCAAGCTGCTGCTGTGCGATGTTTCCTTGTTTTCAAGTTTCATCACAACAAGGTACACCGTGTGTGTGCGCTGGATGCATCTCCTCTCTGGCGTTCCGCCGGCGTGTTGGGCTTCGGTTGGGTTGGCAAAATTTCTCGAGTACGCGAGACGTGGACAGTTTAAATTATATGCACAGGTCATGAAACTTCGATGTGACCTCAATATGTCACGAAAGTCTTGTTGTTTTCGATTTTCGAAACCGTTTCGAAGGGGACATCCGGCTGCTCCGGAGGCACTCCACTCGGTGCTACATTAATGCTGGAATGTGGGGGTAATTTTCCAGAAAACTGCCACGTGCCCCCATTCGAGGCTTCACAGCAAGGGGTCGAACATATTAGCAAGCTTTTCGTAAAATCGATCAACATTGACATCGAAAACCGGAGTACAAATCTATAAATAGCCATCAAAAGATCCTTTGCGCGCAGAACCTGTTTGGTTGAGTTTATTTTTTATTATTAATTTCAGGTGACTAGTTTTTTGCTACATTGTTTAGATTCTCCTTTTCGGTAGTCCTTCGAGATCGAAATGTCCAAAATGTACGCATCAAATGGGGGGAAAGCAACTTCTGCAAGGAAATAAGTATCCATCCAAGCGGAGTGAACGAGGAAAGAGGGTTCTCCGATATGCAAGAAGTGACGCGGTGTTTCATTTTCTCGTTTCTCCACTCCTTCTTGGGGCCAGAAGGCTTGAGCACAACAAATTGCTAAAAATAAATCGTTAATTTATGATCTGTATTTCAAAATAATGTCCAGGTGTTTGGTGGGACTTTAGAACACGATGGTAACCGAGAAAGGAATTCTGTGTCGCGTATTCGCTAATGTCCACCAAGAAGGATTATTTTGAGTCAATAATTCGGCCCAACATAAAAGAACGACGTTAAAGCTCGATTTGCTCCACTGGATATGATTCTTTTGGAATTTGGAATCTAATGGAATCCGGGTGACATGGAGGATGAAAATGTGATATACAAAATAATTCGGCAAGCCGCTTAACTCTTGCTATGCTAGTGACTCAGTGTCTTTATTCAAAGTTTTCTATAAATTCCATATTATTTTTTATCTCTTCGCAGTCGGGTAGCGCGGCTTTCGCAGCCATCAAATACGATTTGGCTTTGGGGTATTGCTTCTGGCGGGCAACCATGACGGCCATGTTGTTCAGGGCAGACCCGTGGGATCCGTTGATGGCGATGCACAGGCGCAGACAGCGTCGGGCTAGGTGGACATCTCCAGTGGTCTGGGAATTGAGGTTGTTATTAGAAATTTATAAAACTATTGTTAACAACGGTAAATACTCCTATTGCGTGTTGAATCACGATCCCGTGCACACCAAAAAAAAATTTTTTATATCACATCAAAGTGGATGCACTTCAATCGTGTCGAAAATACAGTATGCAAAAAAAGTTTATCCACCCCCCTACCAATTTACATTTTTTTTTGTTTTTCTGGTGAAAATCAGTTTAATTTTATGAGTGTTCCTCCATGATTTATCAATTTATGTTTATTTATCACATTGCCATTGAAAAAACGGCGTTTGTATCTTTTCTTGAGATTTCATGTGATAAATTATGAAAAGGGGCAAAAAATTACGCAAAAAAAGTTTATCCACCCCCAAACGGATACTACAATTTAAGAGTGTTTTACAGAGTTTTAGTGTGTATTCTGCAAATTTCTCGAATGTAAACATTGTGTCTATCTGCCATTTAGTGCTCTTGAAATTTTCGTGCTCAAAATTTCAGTTTTGTGTTCAAAATTGAAAGTTATTTGTTGCAAAATGCCCAAAAAAGCACAAATTTCGATCAATATCCGATTTAATTATTGAACATCACAAAACTGGCAAAAGCTACCGTGATATTGCCGATATTGTCGAGCTTCACAAAGATACGGTCGCTAGAATTGTGCAGGTGTACAAAAAGCGTGGTTCTATCTCACAAGCTAAGCGATCGGGGCGTCTTTCAAAGACAACTGGCCGAATTGACAGAGGTAGACCAATCGAAATCGTCTTCATAAAAAAGGTCTTAGGGGATGATAGCATTTAAGAAGCCATGGTTGTCCGCAAATAATATAAAAAAAAAGGTTGAATTGAGCCCAGAACCACATTTCATGAACCAGTGATCTGGTAAGACGAGACGAAAGTACTGCTATTTGGGTCTGATGGTATTAATAACCAAATAGCATTACTTTCGTCTCGTCTGGCCAGATCACCAGTCATCACTGGTCAATGAAATGTGGTCCTGGGCCCAATTCAATCTTTTTTTTTATATTTTTTGCGGACAACCATGGCTTCTTAAGAGCTACTATCCCCTAAGACCTTTCTTATGAAGACGATTTACCACACTTTTTGTACACCTGCACAATTCTAGCAACCGTATCTTCGTGAAGCTCGACAATATCGGCAGTTTTGTGATGTCCAACAATTAAATTTCGAATATTGATCGAAATTTGTGCTTTTTTGGGCATTTTGCAACAAATAACATCCAATTTTGAAAACGAAACTGAAATTTTGAGCACGAAAACTTCAAGAGCACTAAATGACAGCTAGACACAATGTTTACATTCGAGAAAGTTGCAGAATACACACTAAAACTTTGTAAAACACACTTAAATCGTAGTATCCATTTAGGGGTGGATAAACTTTTTTTGCGTAAATTTTTGCCCTTTTTCATAATTTATCACTTGAAATCCCAAGAAAAGATATAAACGTCGTATTTTCAATGGCAATGTGATAAATAAACATAAATTGATAAATCATGAAGGAACACTCATAAAATTAAACTGATTTTCACCAGAAAAAAAAAAATGTAAATTGGTAGGGGGTGGATAAACTTTTTTGCATACTGTATGGTGTAATTTTACTTGCGAAAAAAGGCAAAATTATCATTAATACAGTGTATGAACTGACATTACGTTGCTTTTACTGCATTTGTTTATTTGTGTTGCCATAAAAATTACATGAGATTTTCGACATGACTGAAGTGCATCCTCTTGGATGGAATATTAAAATTTATTTTTTGCTGTGTGCTATTTGAATTCGGGTGACTCAAACATAGGGGAAATGGATGTAATGTCGGCCTAAATGCTCCTTATTTGGACCCATACATAAAATTTCACAATCGTCTAAATTTTCAATAGCTACTAAAAATATACATTAGTACCGTCCCAATGACGCGTTCATCTAGATAAAATTGATAAATAGTAGATTTTTAGCGATGGGCCCAATCTTAGATCCATAGGCCAACATTACAGCCATTTCCCCTATTACTTAAAGCCAAATGACAAAAAATATCACTAAATGGTTAAATAAAAATGTTTCATAAAAGGTGATGCGAAATAATGAAACTTATTCTGATAATCGACGTTCTACAGAAATTACCGTCAAACTCAATACATCCAAAGCCACACATATTTATATTATTAAAGTATTCAAATTACGAAATAAATTTAAAACTGTTTTTGCAGGCAATTACTTCAACCATCGATTTCTCGCAAGTAGGAAGCGCACACTCACAAACTAACAAGACCATCAGTTAGGAAAATGGCTTAGTTTTCAATTTACAATTTTGGTTTTATGAGTTTTCTGTAGATTCTGATATAAATTAAAAAAAAAATGGATGGACAATTGTCTACGCAGGGGGAAGGGGGGGGGGGGGGTCAAGAATCCCAAAAAAGCTGTCTACGTAGATTATGGACAGCCCCTAATCACGTTATAAAGTATTACAAAAAAAAAACAAATTGTTAACTCTATTTATACATGCCAATACTTTTCCACTTTTATGCATCGAATGAGTGAATATGGCGAGGCTGTATTTAGCAAAGAAATAATTCAAAATCTACTATTTTCTTCTTTTTGAGTGTTCAATAGACGAATGACGATTTTTAACACAAATGACCAACAGTTGCTCACAACCTCAAAAATATTATGTACTGTACCCATTTATTGAGAAAGTGCATGTTTGTTTTAAAATTTAGGTTGGTTTTACCCAACCTCGGTTTCTTTTGATATGATATAAGGAAACTGGTGTTTAGCGTGTATGGAAAATTACCCATTCTCCAAAAAGTGCCATACTTAATGAATAGGATAAAAACAAATCCCAAAAATTAATACCTGTTACCCATCGCCTTCCCTCGTGTAACGTCTTAACTCAGGTAAGTGTAAGTAGCAATTAAATATGCTCATTTGTGCGTTAACAACCGTTACTCATCCACTGGGTACGTGTACTTTTTGGGTATTTCTTCATACGAAAAGCAGAATTTTTGGTTTACATTTCTAATCCCTCAAATGAGTAAATATATCATATTTGATAATAATTACTTATTATAATGTACAAATATAACGCACATGCGCGCATTTTTTCGATAAATATGTGGATGCCCATGATTCATATTCCGGTAACAACACCGAATTCATTCTGATACTTTTTCTATTAGTGGTTACTAAAAATAAGTGAAGTTCTAGGATCAGTTTCATGAATTTACCACTTTTACGGATGTTCCAGATCTTCCGAAGGACCATCTTTTGGTCCCTAGGGTTCATATTCCGATCATAACTCTGAATTCATTCTGATAAGACGTCTACGTATGGTTTAGAAACCAAAAAACCGCTAAGCACTAGGATCAGCTTCATGAATTGACCACTTTTCTGGATGTTCTGAATCTTCTAGTGAATCACCCCGTGGCTCCCAGTGTCCATGTTCCGGTCATAGCTCGGAATTCATTCTGATAAAACATCTATGAGAGGTTTCGAAAAAAAACCGCAGAGGTCTAGGATCAGTTTCATAAGTTGACCACTTTTACGGATGTTTTGGATCTTCCGGTGGACCATAACGAAGGGTCTGTATTCCAGACACAAATCCAAATTCATTCAAATAGGCTGTCTATGAGTGGTTTCGAAAAAAAAACGTGGATCTCAAGGATCAGTTTCGTGAATTGACCACTTTTACCGATGTTATGGACAATGTTCACTCGGTTGTCGACAAAAGCAGGCCACTCTTGTTGTGTGCCACGCGATAGCCTGTTTTCTCGGCAGCAACCATTGTGTGGTCCTCTTCATTGTTCTTCATCAGCAGTTCTTTCAGTCGATGCGTCGTCGACTTTAGAAAGCAACCGTTTCGTGATGAGTGTGTGAGTGCTGACCACGTTTTGCGTCCATTGCTGCATTGGAAGCGCTCTGACCCTCGATGGCGTAACTGTCATACAATGAAACCACTGGAAGCGGCTCCAGTTCTGATGGGGGAGGCTTTTTGGATAGCAGAAGATAAAGTGTTTGTTGTGTTGTACCTTTTGATTACAGTTTTAAGATGTATTGTATAGTGACCAAGAATCCTCGGCTCTTTAAAGTTAATTCGTTTGAGCCTTATCAAATAAATTAATAAACAAACCGATGTTATGGATCTTCCGAAGGACAATTACGTGATACATATGCGGTTTCGACAAATCTGTGGAGCTCTATGATCAGTTTCATTAATTTAACACTTTTATGGATGTTCCGGATCATCCGGTAGACTATACCGTGGTCCCCAGGGTCAATATTCCGGACACAACTCTGAATTCATTCTGATAAGACGTCTATGAATGGTTTCGAAAAACCATGGAGCACTAAGATCACTTTGATGAATTGATGACTTTTCCGGATGTTCCGAATCTTCTAGTGGACCACCTCGTGGCTTCCAGTGTCCATCCCAAGTAACAATTCAAGCTGAATTGTAAGAACAAAAGTTGATTAATGGTTGATTTAAGGTGTACGAAGCTGATTAACACCAGGCTGAATATACAGTTAATTAGTAGTGCATGAAGCGAATTGTATCCCCATAATTCAACCTCAGTAAGTTAACTGATATAAAGACTGAACAAGACTTATTTAAGCTTAATACTACTCCACAAACCAGCAATGCGCTACAAATATTCTGATAGCCTGATAGAATAATATGAATTTATTGCACAATATTGTTAAATGTCGTCAGTTGCATTTCCGACATTTTAGTTATTCTAAATTCACTGCCTGCCTTTCTAATCCCAAGCAGCACCAGCAGTAGAGACAATTGTCAAGGAAGAGGATCTTTTTAAGAATAACTCCACCTAGAAGTGGACTGCGACGACGTCGGAAGTATTAACATTAGTATTCCTGTGTTTTGTCGGTTCACCACTTTATATTGCACTTAATTTTTATACCGCATTTCAAAAATAGAATTCAATAATAGCACTAAAATAGCATCGAAATACATCGCGCACTTGTGTCCAGATTGTGTTTACTGCACTTGAAATGAGAGGAATGTTTTACTGTCACAATGTATTGTTTATAATTCGGCATTGCTGTATAATACTCTTCTGGTTGCTATTATTCAACTTAATTTTGACGTGCTTCATGCTAATGATCATACCTTCTGCCTCAAATATGCTTATGTGGTCGAGTGGGTATAGTTGATGCCTGTGAATTAGCGACTGCCGGTTCGAATCCCGAAATGTAAAGGTAATTTTTAGACATATAATAACAATATAAATATGTAAATGCAATTAGTCAGCAACATTCTAAAGCAGTCTCATAAAAAATATAAGATATGGAGTGGTCTTCCATTACATTTTTTTTAAATAAAAAATTAAGGCTGAACAAGGGTTAGAAAAGACTGTTGGTTAATGCATTGAAAAGTTATAATTTAGATTGTTGTTAAGCTTTGGGCTGATTAAAATCACCAGATTTAGATGTTTAAAAGCTGAACAAAGGTTAAAGTGGTTTATGTACAACAATTATTCAAAGTAAGCCTGAATTAAAATCGTTGAAAGAACACTTGTTAAGCATCAATTTGTTACTTGGGATGTTCCGCTTATTACTCTGAATTCATTCTGATTAGACGCCTATTAGCGGTTTAAAAAAAACCGCAGGCGTCTATGATCAGTTTCATAAATTGACCAATTTTACGGAGGTTCCCGATCTTTCGGTGGACCATATCGTGATCCCCTGGGACCATATTCCGGTCACAATTAAAAGTTCATTCTGATAAGACGTCTATGAGAGGATTAAAAAAAAAAACCGTGGAGCTCTAGGATCAGTTTCATAAATTGACCACTTTTACTGATGTTTCGGATCTTCCGGTGGGCCATACTGCGGTTCCCAGGATCCAGAGTTAAAATTCCGGTCAAATTTCCCAATTCATTCTGATAAGACGTCTATGAGTGGTTTCGAAAAAAAAAAACACAGAGGTCTTGGATCAGTTTCATGAATTTACCACTTTTACTGATGTTCCGGATTGGATCACCAGGGTTGAGATTCTTTTCACAGTTTCGACTTAAGTCTGATAAGACGTCTATAAGTGGTTTCGAAAAAACCACGGAGCACTAGGATCAGTTTCATGAATTAACCACTGTTGTTCCGAATCTCCCGATGGACCGTCTCGTTGTCCCCAGAGATAAAGTTCCGGTCGAATTTCCGAATTCATTCTGATAGACGTCTATGAGTGCTTTCGAAAAAAAACATAGAGGTCTTGGATCAGTTTCATGAATTTACCACTTTTACTGATGTTTTGGATTTTCCGGTGGACCATAATGTAGTCCCCAGTTCCGGTCACAACTTCGAGTTAATTCTGATAAGACGTCTACAAGATATAGAACAAAAATAACATTTGCATCAGCCTTAGTTATTAATTTATGAGGAAGATAATTTCTGTTGACTTCATCCATCAAGCAACCTTGGCGTGCTGGTCGCGAAGAATAAGGCAAAACCATGTCTTACTGCAAGCGGAAATGTTGCCTGGAAAGCATTCCATTGATCATATTAGAAAATTATCGACGCCAAAATCAATTAATATCTAATTATCTTGACGTTCAAACAAAAAGTAGTTTCCAGCTAAGTTGTAGCTGAGAAAATTTCCTATTAGTATAGATAGTAAGCTTACCCACAAATAATTTTGGCGAAAGGCTAGGACGAGGAGAATGCATTTCCTATAGTTATTCTCATACAAACTTCAAAGAACCAGTGCAGTATCAATTCACTTCCAAATGTGCTAAAATTTTGAGAGAATGATCTTAGTATTATGAATATTGCCTAAAAGTCTGTAAAATGATCATGCAAGAAAACCATTGTGTAGACTAACCAATAACTATTTATCTTGAGTTCATTTGAAAAGTAATCCTATAGAGTTTTCCATTAGGCGTTTTCTATCATTGAAGTTGAATAAAACAAACTGCGTGTGAGATATTGACGAGATTCATCAATACCATTATGTATGGAATATGGTATCAAATGGCCACCACGGCTTCGCTTGGTGGCGTGCAGCTGAGAGGTCAATTTTTCCATGACTCTGGCGCACTCCGTTGACGGCGATGTCATCACCAGCACCGTTTTCGAAGAAGTACGGACCGATGACGCCTCCGGTCCAAAATGCAAACCAAACAGTGACTTTCTGGGGATGTAATGCCACTTGGTGGACCTTGTGTGGATTGGTCTTGTCCCAAATTCGACATTTCCGTTTGTTCACATACCCGTTCATCCAGAAATGGGCCTCGTCGCCGAAAAAGATTGTTCGGGAAAAATCGGGGTCTGTTTCCAACTCCTACAAAGCCCTATCAGCGAACACTAGGTGCTGTCTGTAATCGTTAAGCTTGAGCTCCTGGGTCAATTGGATTTTGTAGTGGTGCAGACCCAAGTCTCGACGCAGAATTCGCCAAGTTGAAGCCTGAGAAAGTCCCAGCTCTTGTGCGCGGCGCGGAGTCGACAGCCACGGGTTCTCCTGCACACTCTTTATAGTAATTTGGCAAGACACACTGAATAAATGACAGCTAATTTGACACTTGTAGCTTCAACAATATAGACGCAATGAACTGAAAAAAAATAGGAAATCTCTATTGGAAAACCCTTTAGTAAAACAGCCACAGGCTAGATCGAGAGGAATAAATATTTCGGTTTTTCCATTCAAATGAGGGCAGGCCAAATGAGCTCATATTTTGGTAGTATGATCATGGCATGATTTTGAATCAATTCTAATCTAACCAAATCTAACCATCGCTAACAAATGTTGTGTGTTTATAATTTCAGCATCAAGTATGTGTTACAGTAGAATCCAATTAAACTCAGTTATCTAAAACCTTAGATTCTTGCAATTAGGAACTAATGTCTGGATCAGACTACAGTGTTATAACATGTTTCAAATGTGTTATAATAATTATCATAAAAAAGCGGCATCAAGATAGCCTTGTAACATGTTATATTTCCGTAGTGCTAAAATAGCAATGGTCCATATCATCCCTTCCCCTGTGTCACGCCCTTTCCCATACTTATTACACGTATTGCAACAAATTATAGGACCCTGTCTAAAGTGGATGTCATATTTGAATGACATCTTAACCCTTATGTGCGCAAGGATTGTTTTTATTTGTTCCTACACCGTGTTATTCAAATGGGAGCTGGTTACCCCATCACGCACATTATGGTTAAAACCTGTAAACGTGTTTCACCGTCAGTAACCGTATTACAGAATACATACTCACCAAAGCCACAAAGCTCAGATTGTACCAGACATCTGCCTTCAGCTCGGAATTGGTTGCCATTCGAATGGCTCTCTGAAAGCAGGGAAACACCAAATCCAACTGCCCACCGTACAAACAGCACAGGCCAATGTTGCAATAAAGTTCCGCACTATGGGCACCCATCGACAGGATCCTTCTGTAGTACAGCAATGCCGTTTCCGGTTGATTCCCATAGAAGTAGCTCACGGCAATGCATGCCAACGCTTCCGTGTTCATTGAATCCAGTTGGGAAATTTGACGGTACCGTCTTACCGAAGCCGTAAGATTTCCAACCAGTTCCAAAACTCTCGCTTGTTGAGTCAGCAGAGTAACATCGTCGGGCAACTTTTCCAGCCCGCTCTTGCAAACTTCCAATGCTGCTGTAGGTTGATCGATCTTAATGTAGATCCTCGCCAACAGTAGCACCGTGTCCGGATGATACAACTCGCCGAGTGCCGTTCTAAGATACTGTTCCGCTTCGCGCGGACTTCCAGTAGCAATGAGGCAGCGTGCTTTCTGCGTATTCCACCACCAGCCGGCAGCGGTTCGTTTTAAATTTAGTACCGCATCGCAAAGTGCCATCGCCTTCCGGACTTCGCCCTCATGGTAGTATAGGTACTGAAACAGTGGCTTCGAGATCGAGTCCTTGTCGGCATACTTGTCCGGATGGAGCCGTGAAATGTGAAACAGTGGCCCTGTTGGATCGCCCACGGCAAACATCGAAGCCGACCCGAGCCGTATGTTCCTCGCAGATCCGGCAGTTCTGGCGGTTTTCAGTGCAGTTTTATTGCCCAATGTAGATCCAGGTCGTTGCAGCGAAAGCGTACCCGGGCGGGACTAGCAGCAGAAGCAGCAGCACAAACAGCCACGGAAAATATGAAACGAGAGGTAGATAAGCAAAACAAAAATGAGCACACATCAGTAGATCATTTTTAAAAGCCTATTAATATGATTTTGATTACAATGCCAGTAATTGGTCTCCCGGTACCAGTGCGGGGTCGAGCACCAGCTGCCGTTGCCTTTCCCGCGGCGGTTGAAGCGGCGGCGGCTGCCATTGCCGTGCGGATCGAGGTGCCCGGTCTCGGGGCCGTTGCGATGGTCTGCGTGTCCAAAATATCCTCTGCGCGCATAAAAGGAATGTGTATAATTTCAGGTATAATTTACCAAAATGCATTTTCGCATTTCGCGGATATGCACAGTATCTTCTACTTCTTCGTTGGAAGCAGGACGTGTGGTGTGTATGTTGGCTGTGAGCTGGCATGCCGATAGGAAATGTGCATTGCGAGGAAGGAAAATAATCATAAATGGGATGCAAACGAAGATCTGTGGCACGATGGAGAGTGGTGAACTGAAAATGGGAGAATGATTTTTGACGGTGGAAAATAAATAGGATGATTGCAACAGTTTTGGTCGATTGGTTCTATTTTGCCCACATTTGGTTTTTTTTTTTTTTTTTTTTTTTTTTGTCTTTATTTTAGAGATTTTTAGCCTGAGGCTAGTTCATCTCTTACCCACATTTGGTTCGACATTGCAGCTTGGCTAATGTATTGCAATAATCAGTAACAAACGAATTTTAACCGCACAGGTAAAGGAGATACACTTTTCAAGCAATCTATGCTTTCCAATACCGGGACCTCCCTGAGCTCAGTCACTAAAGGCGCAGCTACAAAGCTATACCATGCTGGAGGTGGCTGGGTTCGATTCCCGGTTCGGTCTAGGAATTTTTCGGGTTAGAACACTTATCGACTTTCCTGGGCATAGAGTATATGATTGAACCTGCTGTTATGTCTTCATTTAGATTCAAAACAATGTGCTGCCTTCATCTAAATCCAATCTGTGCCATAAAATGTAGAAGAACATAAAATGTTGAAGAACAAATTATTGAATGAAATCTACTATGACAATTTTAAGCGCAACAGCTTTAAAATTGGATGCACCATCCGGTACAAATTCATTGCATTTATTACCCCCTTACATGTAAAGAAGAGAGACGGATTAGTAATTTCCTTTTATTTTATCCTTGAAAGATTCACGTATTTTGTGTACAGTTTGCAGACTTTTTCAGTGTCTTTACGAATACTCGACAATCTTTTTGGAGTTTAACAATGCGTTTTATTTTTCATAGTTCAATGTAACAGCTATACATAAGTAGGTTTTATGCTTATTGTAAAACCATTGTTCAAGTCTTCCTTCTTATCATAGGCCATTGCTCGAACTTTTATTCGTATCATCTTTTGCACGGGCCCTGTTCCCACTTGTGTGGCTGCCAAATTATATTTCCACTTGAAATCCTTCAGGTCAATTGTAGTTCCACCCTTTTTCTCCAGTATGTGCTTAACAATTGACCAATTGGCTTTATTCCGAAGTATTGAATCCATCTCCTTGAATCCATCCTCACTGTTACGCAAATTTCGCTGTACCACTGTTTGGTAAGATTTGAGTAGTGGCAGCTTTTCAAGTCCGGCCATAATAGGCAATCCACCTCAGGCAAGGCAGCTGTCTCTTCCTTAGGCACTCCTCCTGGTAAATTTGTTGGTTCATGGTCCCTGAAGTAACGAAACTTTCGCTTTTCAGCCCACAACTGCAGATTGCTTGCCAGACAAGGAAGTTTTTGGGGAATTTCGGCTTCTTTTTGATTTAACATTCTCCCGGGGCTCTCTTCCGGTCAACCGAGGTGTAAAATTCCTGCCCAGGAATGCGATCGAAAACAAATAGGAGCGGATAGACCGAGATTTTCGTTTCGAGCGTACAGGATCTAATCGCGACGTGCTTGCTCCAGTGAAGCCATGATCCTGACAACCCAAAGCCTACTGGAATTCTATACACTCTTAGCTGGATTCAGTGAAATTTTGGAAAAAAAATTCTCAAAAAATGCCTTAATGGCAGCTTTTAACCGTCAGTACAAGACACTGATGAAGTCTACACATTGTAGACAAAATACGCGTATCTGTCAAGGAGAAGCGAATAAGGTAGATGAATTAAATGGAAATTACTAATCCTTCTTAGCGGCGCCGGTGGTGTAGTGGTAAGCGTGATTATCTCTCACCCCAGCAGGCCTGGGTTCAATCCCATTTGGCGCCGCCGGGATGTTCTGAGGCCTAACATCTCTGATCACGCCTTCCTTCGTTGGTCGTTGGTCTCCGGTTCATGAGTTGATGGGTCGATAGGTAGGGTCCAGGTGTGGGAGCTGCCTTCCTGGCACGTCGGTAGCATTGCTCAGCACGGAAAACAAGATCGACGGAAAAAACAAACCAAAGGAAAAAAAATACTAATCCTTCTCTCTTTCTTTATACAAGCATTCCAATAAGACGCCGACAATAATCAGGATAACAAAAAAATATATATGGTGCATTAAACATCAGTGGGGAAATTTAATTTAATTTTATTGAACTCAAAGAAAATTAAGAATTCCTGTGAACATCAGGAACACCATAACACCTCAGTGAAATTTTGGGAACTTCAGGAAAATGCAAAAACATTTTAAAACATTTTTGTAAGCCTCAGGGCTGTTTCGAGATTCACGGAAGATCATTGGAATTCTATTAATTTCAGAAAATAGCGGGAAATTTATGAAGTTCCCAGATTTTCAAGCAGTCTAGAGAACTTCCGATGTTCAATGAACTTCAGAATGTTTTTGAGAACTTCATAGAAGATCAGAGAACTCAGCAAAACGAAGATTGTTAGAACTTTGGAGAAGATCTGAGAACTTCAGGGAAGGTCAGAGGACCTAAGGACAGTTCCATTAGCTTCAGGGAAATTAAAAAAATAAAAGAAGTTTCGAGAGCTTCAGGGAAATTGTTAAGGCTTCAGGATGTGTCTAGTATTCCAGGCAAATTTCAGGAACTTCGTGATTTTAGGGAAATTGAGGGAATTTGAAGAAAGGCCTGAGAAGATCAGGGAAGTTGAAAACTATTTAAACGGAAATACCGCGAGCATTAGAGTTTATTCGAAAATGTCGGAGGCTATGGGATTTAAGGGTAGTTGAAAGGATAACATCCAGGTGTCTTTGAGAAATTTGTTTAGCAGAAAGTTGCTCTTCTTTTGGTGATACGTAGGATTTAGTAAGTAACAAATTGGCCCTCCAGAAGACCCGGAACATCCTTAATTTTTTTTTTTGCATCTAACTGGCACTATAGGGTGATTCAAAATAACTTTCACCGATTTCACAAAAATGCAATTCCCAATGGATAAAATGGGTATATGTTGAAGTATTTCTGTTTAAAGTGTGTAGAAATATCAGCTGGTAATGATAGTAAATTTCATTCGCTTGCGATTTCAAGCAGCCATGATCGTGAAAATGGAGCATGTCATATATCTGTATAGAATCGGGTGTTATCTTGTAGAAACTGAAATCTATTCGAAAGAATGAAACATTTATTTTTCGCATCATTATAGAGTAGGGTGGAACACCGTTATATGGAAAAACGCAAACTTGCGAGAACAACCCTTTTTTGGTGTCATTTCGGGTCCCAAACAGCTGTGCAAAATTTGGAGACGATTGGTTGTAACCCGGCTTTCCCTACTGCGTTTGAAATTTGTCTGAAAATTAGGATGGGAAAACTTACTTTTTTACATTGTCATCCTTTTAAACCACAATTTTGCTTGAATCATACCTACAACTAATTATGTACACATATAGTCCAAGGAGACCGTAGCAACTTTGCAGTATAATATACGGTGCTATAATGTCTAATAGAAAGTTATATCTGATCGAATATATATAGTTTGAATTATAGGCCAAAAATGCACTTTTCCTGCCTACACTGCCGGTGTACCAATGAAAGTCAGATTCCAAACTGAAATAATTTCGAAGTTTGTTATCTTATCGATTAGGTATGATCAAATGGTTTACTCAAAATCAATTACTCTATCTCATATGCGAGAGGAGGAAGCTTACTACACCCCCGCCTCCATCAATCATATCAATAGAAGTAAAGTTTCAAACTGAAATAACTTCGGAGTTTCTTATTTTATCGAGTTGGTATGTTCAGATGTATTAATCAAAAACAATTGCTCAATCTCATAAGCGTAGTAAAAGCGGAAAGGCACCCATCACTCATATCAATCGAAGTAAAGCTTCAAACTGAAATAATTTCGGTGTTTCCCATCTTCTTGAGTTGGCATATTCGGATGGGCTATTCAAAAACATTTGCTCAATCGCATAGGCGTAGTTCACTAGGACAGATAGTTTTCTTCAACTGCTCTATTAGAAATTAACATAAAGCGATTGTGCCTGTTTACTGAACCAAAAAACAGCAAATATTTTTGAATAACACATACCAGAAAAACACAGAAGTTATTTCAGAAACTTTACATCTATTGACATGAGTGAGGAGGCGGGAATTATAGTTAGCACTTCCTCTATAACCACTGAATAATTCATCTGAACATACCAAATCGATAAGATATGAAACTCCGAAGAAATTTTAATTCGAAACTATACTTCCATTGATATGAGTACGTGGTGCAAAAAGATGTAGAAGCCCCCCCCCCCCTCCTCTCTATTCAACTACGTATTTTTTTCTCCTCTGTTCGGGACATAAAATTACTGCGACCAGTAAATTGATCTATTGTAGTATATCCCGTGTCCTTAGTTTAGTGCATGTCGTATTACTTCATCACTATTGAGAAATGATGAAGTATTCGGTTTTGATAGATTTGTCATTCTTGCCTTCATCGCAAGGAATCGATTCTAATTGAAAGGTTCCGCTATTTATACCCTTCGGAGTGTTGGAACACCCTCCAAAGGCGCGCCCCTTTGTCAGTCAAAATTGGATTCCTTAGCAACAAAATTAAAGAATGACACCGATAGTGACCATGCATCAGAACCCTAGTCTTAACCACTTCAAACTAGGGAACAACGAATAGAAGATTAGGAACCACATAGATGAAGACTAACTAACTAATTTTTTTTCCTTGTTTCAAGATCATCCTGGGTCCAGGCAACCCGAGGACTTATCACTATCGCTTGAGCTTGAGCTTGAGCTTGATTGACCGCCCACGGTTGCTACTCTGTTATTGCCAGATCAGCTGTAATTACACAGAGAACCAATAGACGATGCTTGGGACTAGCAATAATCCTCAATGTGTAAAAACTGGTGATCTTATATTAGGCAATAC